GGGGGGAGAGGCGACCTCTACGGGAGCTTCTGGAGCCCGCGCTCCGGGGGGGGGGGGCGGCTCCTCGCTGGAGACGATTGCACCCGCTCGATGCGCACTGGTCTGGGCCTCTCTGAGAAACTGTTGGACAGACGAATCAGCGAGAATCTCCGCTCCCCGGGATTCTTCGGTCGTAGCCAACCGGACCTGCTCGGTGGAGCACTTCCAGAGACGAGACCTCATCGCCACCCAAACCGACGTGCCGTTTTCAGCACCACGAGTCCCGGACCAGCCCATCTGCCCCTTTGAAGGGCGAAGGGTTTCTGGCCCCCCCGGGGAGCCCTCCTCCAGACGAAAGCCCACTGACCTGGGGAGAAGTGCTTGTCTCGATGGATGGGTGCGTGTGCTGCCTTAGCCAGACGACGTTGGTTGGACGACTCGAACCGTTCTTTGCGGGCTAACCTCCTGATGGCGCCCCCGCGGGCGAACTCGGCCGCCGCGGTGCCCCGATCCCAAGAGCCAGGGGACCAGTCATCCGTTCCCACCACCTGCAGAGATTCATCAGACGCGATATCGTTGTGTGCCCGGGGGCTCATGCCGAAAACCATCTGACATGGAGCGACCCCCCCGCGGTGCAGGCACCGATTCTTCGCGGCCGTCACTTCGCGAACCAGCGTTTCGAGTTCCAGCGTGGCGGTGGCGAGGGTGGTCTCAGAGGCCCGAACCAGGATGTCTTTAACCCAGCCCCCGTGCCTCTCGGCCCGGCCGTTCTGCCGCGGACTCTCTGAGTCCGTGACATGCTGAAAGACCCCAGATGTTCCAAACCTCGTTCGACACGGCCCCGAAACTCTGGCCCTCCGTCCGTGCTGGCGAAAAGAGGGTGCCCGAAGGGTCTCACCCAGGCCCTCATGAAGGCCCTCCAGGCCCCCAGGGCCGTGCCATCGTACATTTCCACGACCTGATAGTTGGTCCCATGACAAATGACATTGAGAAACGCTATCTGTTCCTCCTTAAAGGCGACATAGAACGTATCTAGCGCAATGATTCGATTAACCTCGAACGGTCTGGGTACCCCCACAAGGCGACTGCTAGCTGGACGAGAGTGCGCGGCGCAATCGCCGCATTGGTACTCGTCCTGCACAAACTTGAGCACTTCGGGCTCAGCCTGGGCACCCCTTAGAGCCTTCAGGAAAACGTCCTTGTGGGGGTGACCTAAATTGACGTGAACCTTATGTATGAGCCGTCTGACCCTCGGGGTGATCTCAAAAAGACGATCCTGGGCTACCCCCTCTGGTTCCGGATCGCCCTCGAGGGCTCCGCCCTCTTCGGCGTCGGCCGGATAGCTCTCGGCAAGGTGCAGCTCTGGTCCCTCAGCGTCTCTCGCAGCCCTGACTTGTCCCGGAGAAATCTCTGGAAGGGCCGCGTTCGTGCTGGCCCGAACGGCCTCGGCCAAGGCTCGGGCAAACTCTGGCGGATACGCTCGAGCTCTAGCTGTCATTGAACTGCCAATCAGATGAGCGTGCCAATGGTCACCAGTGCACCTAGACCCGGCAAATCGCCCCAAAAAGGAATCACAATTAGACATCGGCCTCGTGGGTTTCCTCGACAAGGCCCCATCCTTCGTCGCCGATAGACCGAAACGACAGAGATCGACGCACATGGACCCAACTCCAAGGAGGCCCTGCATACAGCGGACCATCTCGGTTCTCCAGGACCCCGCGGTGACCGGGCGTTCGAAAACGAACTGTCTCCCCTGTTGGTGCTGTTCTAAAGCCACCTCCATCGCGAAACCAAGCAAAACGATAGCCTCAGCGTTCTTGCGGCGCTGCTCCGGAGTCGTTCCCAGATGAGCGGTGGAGCTGTGCATTATGGAGAAGGCGTCGCACGGGGTTCCAGGATAGTCATCCAGGGTTTCTGCTTTCTCTGAAAGGCGCGAAACTCTTGTCTGCGCTGTTCGTTGAGAATGTCCCATCCTCCTTCCTTGTCGAAGCTGCCCAGGCACACCACTCCGGCGTGGCCAGAGTAGTGAGCGATCCTAGGAGGAAAGAAGACCTCGACAAAGGCCCGGCTCCTAAGCTGGGCTCTGTAAAGCTTGGTCTTGTCGGAACCTCCCCTCCCCTCTCCTAGTTTTCTCCTTCCCCCTTTCGTTAGGTATACCTCTCGATCATCTGGCCACTGATCCCCGAAAATGGTGTCGTCAAGCTCCTGACAATAGAACTTGGTTCTGCCGTCCTTTTCCTGGATCGTTTCAACCTCGAACACCCTGCCCAGTTCCTGATGCCGCGCACCTGAACTGATATCAGAAATGTTCCGGTGATTGGGATCCCCTATCCTCGTACTGGTACTGTCGTGGAGGCCCGGGTGCCAGCTCAGGTCCACTTGCCGCCGCCCTCGTGGCTCCACGTCTTCCACCCAGTCTGCCCCCACCCCTCCTTGGCCAGGCGCTTCTTCTCGGCGTCCTTCATCTGCTGCTGCTGCCTCCAGGCCGCCTCCTCCGGGTTCTCCGTCGGCATCCACGGGTCTCCCTTGGCTGACGAAGGTCCCGCCGCTGAAGGCCTCGTCGGACGCTCGACCCTCTGTCGAGGCTGCTGCCCGCCGTCCTGCATCGGGCCGCTCTGCACGCAAGTGAGCTGCTGGGCGGACACCACTGGAGCCGTCGCCGGGGGCTGCTGCTGAGCGCCCCCCGGCGTCGATGGCATCGCGAAGCTGCTGACCGTGGACGACGAGAGAAGAGCTCCCTGCTGATCGCGAAGACCCCGAGGGTTGTCCACCCTGGTCTTGGCGTAGCCAATCGGCGGAGGCCATGCCGCACTCGAGGTCCGATGAGTCACGGGGCCAGCGCCGCACGACGGGTAGGCGCTCACCACTGGAGCCGCGCCGACGAAGCCCCAGCCCCCCTCCTGAGTCGCGGCCGCGGCCGCCGACGGAGTTCCACACCTCGGAGAGGGCAGAGCCACGATCGAGACTCCGTGAGGCGGCGTCTGCAGCGGTGGGGGCTGCTGGAGCGCAGGGGGGTGGCGATGCTGTGATGCTCCACTCCCGCCGGCGCTGGCGGTGGCCTGGCTGCGGCTGGTCCCTGCCCCGGCTCCTCGTGCTTCACACTCACACTTGCCTCTGGGGTTGACACTTCCGCCTCGCTCTTCCGACCTGGTGCCTGAGGCGCCTTGGGCATCGGCTCCCGGGGCGCCTTGGGGACCGGCTCCCGCGGCACTAGTGGGGGCGGTGACTTCGTCGCGGCGGGTCCGGTCAAAACCTGCGCCGTCGACGAATGCGCCGAGAGCTGCTGCAGCTTCGACTGGAGCGTCGCGACCGCCTCCGTCTGGCCCGACACGGTCGCGCAGAGCTGGTTGATGGAGGCCTCCTGCTGATTCTGCTTGTTGGCGATCTGCTGCAGGAGGCGCATGGTCTCGTCGTTGCCGTCGTCCGAGCTGGCCGAGGGTTCCATCGCCGCTCTCTTGGCTGGAGAGGGCGCTGCCTGTCGGCGACGCTGGGCCCTCTGCTCCTTGGCCTGCTCCTCCACGTCGTGCATGATCACGTCGGGCTGCTCTGACTCGACCTGATGATAAGGTGTTCCAGCTGCATGAGCGTCGGCCGACGCTGGCCACGGCGGCACCGCCCCCGCCGACGCCCTCGCCGCTGCCACCCCTGGCGGGGGAGCTGGGGCCGCCACTATGGTCTGCCACTCTGGATCGGCCCCGCCCAGCTGGGCGAAACCCTTTCCGCGCAGCGAGCAAGCGGCGGTCTGGCGCTTGCCCGCACACCCACCAACGCCCATGCCCATTGCTGCAAAACTCCACGTGGATGGGCATGTGGCGGCACGTGTAGAACTGCGGCGGGATCACCCGCATGCGCTTGACGAGATTCGTCGGCCAGAAACGGCGATTAATCATCATCCTGCCAAACTCGTCGGCTAGCTTGGAGAGCCAGAGGACCACGGCGCCCACCAGGGCCGCCCACGACCTCTGGCCGCGGGTCATGGACTGTGGGGCTGGCGCTCCGGTGGCTGCGTAGGTCCACTGCTGGTGACCGCGCAGCTGCTCGCCCATCGTCGTGGGACGGTTGGCCCGGCGCTGCGCCTCGGTCTGCTCCTTCTTCTTGCCCTTGGAGGTGGAGGAGCCGCGGGGGCCATTGATTGAGCTCGCACCCGGCGGCGGCATAGCTCCGTCTCACGGGTACACTGCCGAGCCCGACGTGGCGATAGAGTCGCTGGGAGATGTCCCCGTCGGGCTCGCTAGGATAGATGGCGGCTCGAATGCCCGAGCCCAGCCGCTGCGTAATGACGAACGCGATGATCCAGATGAACGACTGCTTGGTTCTGGCCGTCTCTTGTCTCTGAAACGACCAAAGTTCACGAGCCTCTCGCCTTCCCGGTCGCCCCTGCCGCCGTACCCGTTCTTCTCCTTCGGTTTTCCTAAGTGCCATTCTGCTATCCTTAGTTCGATCCGGGAGGACGCTAGGCTGCGCGAGCTCCGATCTGCATCCCTGGGAGTTCTTGTCTTGGCCATCTGGGGCCTCTCGAGCTCCCGAACCTCACCGGGGCCCGGAGTCGGTCAGCTGTCCTGGACGCGAGGCCCCCTGGGGTTCTCACGGAGGAGGAAGAGAACTGGACCCAGCCCTAGAGGATGATGGCGGGGAGACGATGGTGTACCTAGACATCGTCTCGCTCCTGAAATCTTGCTCCGCAACCTCCGGGCGCTGGCTCAGCACCGAGGGGGGGCACTTCAAAACTGCCCCCGGAGTGGGCACTCCCAAATCGCCCAAGCGCATCGTCCGATGTCCGGTGGGAAGCCGACGAATGTCAGCCTCTACCCCCAGACGCTCGAGTTCAATCTGATTCGTGCTTAGGTCGATTCTCGCTCCTAGCATCTCCTGAAAACCTACTGGGAGGAGGGGTGGCACGTCCGAGGACGTCCAACTCGATGACCCCCATCTTCCCATGGATGCCCGTGGGGATCAGAGCGGCGCTCAAAAATGTTGCGCCCCCCCCCGATTCCGCGGGCCGAGCGATTTCGGGGGGGCACCTGGGGCACTCCCAAACCTCTCTTGCTCGGAAGCTCGCAGCGCCGCTTCAAAGCTGGCATGCCGATCAGTCCTTGACCCGCTGCGGCGTCGACGATCATCTCGCCGGGCTCGACGCCCATGAGGGCGACGGTGGCGCTGTCGAAGTCCAGGTCGCGGCGCTGGGTCGGGTCGAGGATGTTCGCATAGACGTAGGCGCTGACATTCGCAGCGGCAGCTGCGGTTGCACTCTGGCCATTCCGCGCCGGACACTCGCGAGACCAATGGCCCATCTGATTGCAATTTCGGCACCTCGTCCTCTTGATCAACTCCGACAGTGGAAGACGTGACTTTCTCGGCCTGACCTGCCCATTGGCGGCGCGATGTCCGCGCGGCTGCCTGTGGGTCGGCTCCGGCTTGTCCCTGCTGCGGTCGAAGAACTTGCGATCGACCTTCATCTTGCGCTTGAAGTCCCAGTTCTGCTTCCACGTTTTGCGTCTCTCCTCCTGCACTGTCGCGAACGCCTGTGGAAGCTCGTCGTCATGCAGGCCCAGGCCCTCCAGCGCCACGTAGACCTGCTGCTCGCCGTCAGTGTCTAACGATGAGGCGTCGTCGTCTTCCAGGGTGGAGTCGAGATCGAGATCGCCCGTCTGCACGGGGTATGTGGGCTCATCCTTGGGGAAACTGTTTTCTGCCATGAACAATCTCTTTTGAAACGATAGACGCCCTCGACAAGTGACGCCCATCTCCCTGATCGCGGCGAGAGCCTCCGAGTAGGAGCCACGGGTCTTCGTCACGACCCTCATCCACTGCTGGCCTCTCTCGTCGAGACCGACACCTTCCTCTAAGAACATGAACTTCCAGTCCTCTGGGACTGGAAGACCTAGAGTCGCCACCTCGTCGAATGCCAGGTCGATCCGGGCGGCGCACTCGGTGAGACCTTCTCCTTGACGCCGCCGGAAGGAGAAGAGGCACTCTCCCGGCCTTCCGCTTCTCGTCGTCCACCTTCTCGCCCGACAAGGTCCAGGCGCTCTATGATCTTGTCGGCGCCGTTGTTAGAGGTAAGGACCTCGTCCGACAAGTTGTCCATTTTCCTCTGGAGGTCGAGCGGAAGTACTTCGAGAATGCGATCCGCACGCCTGTGACCGGAATGTCCGTGAGCTGCCGCCAGCGTACCAGCTGGCCCCCCCACAGTCTGTGCTCGTTCCAACTGCTCCAGGCGCCCGGGCCAGCGAAGTCTTTGCCCCGCTCGCCCCAGCCGCCCCAGTCCTTCCAGGCGGAGCCCCCCTGCCAGCCGTCGCCCCAACTGTCTTTCCAGCCGGACTTCCACCAGCCGTTCCGGTCGGCGTTGTCCTCGACACCATCTGAGGCGTCTCGCTCTCCGGCACGTCTCCGGCTCCAGGGGTCCTCCCGCTGCCGCGGATCGTCGTCTTGATCTGGTGCTGCTCCATTGGCCCGCCCCTCGCCTGCGGCGTCGGTTGCCCGACCTGTTCGGCTGGACTCTTGGACCTGGTCTCGCACCATCTGGATTACTTGCTGCAGCTGCTGCGGCGACAGTCCCGTGGCCGCGCCCGGCCTCGCGGGTGGCGGCGCCTCTGGTGTTGCTGGCCTCGTCGCTGTCGCAACTCCATCCAGCAGCGTTCTGAGCTGCTCCTCCGAGAGGCGGAACTAGCCATCCTCATCTGCCCATTGTCTTGCCGTTCCCAAGGCTGCCACGATAGATCCCTGGCCTGCCGAGGCTGAGCTGCGAGGTGAATTAGCACCCTGCTCCTGGGACATCGTCGGGTCCGCAGAACCGAGCCTCCGCAGATGAGGCTCCGCTACCACTATCTCCCCACCGACGTTATCCCCAGATGACAAGGTGTCACCCTTTCTCCGTCAGCACGGTCTCGGTCCCAGTGCGATCTCCGATCGCGCAGCACACACACACACACACTTGCACTCGTAGGAGTAGAGGAAAGGAGGTATGGGTCTCAGGATGGAATGGATAGTGAGTGACAGAGGATTAACAACAAGTGAGTAGAAGAAATATGGCCTTGAGCCAAAACGGTTACGGAGGGGGCCCAGTTCCCGATTATATGGTTGAATTCAAGTCCAGGGGAGAAGGGCGAGGGCTACTCTCCTCACCCGACCAATGAGCTAGAGGCGCTCATTCCCACAGCTCTCAATTTCAAGAGAGCCGCGGGGCGCATCGCCGAGGAGGTACACGGTCCCAAAATCTCCGCCTGGGGGGATTTCAATCCATCCCTGGGCGGTTTCGTAAGGCGACCCCCCCCGGCCAGCCTCCGGGCCCTCGCCCAGAGTCTGCCCCCCTCTGGAGGGCGGCTTTGGGAAGAACAAGGCAGGGCGGGGCGCTCCCGCCCCAACCACCTGCGCACGTGCGGGGCGTCGGGTTCTGGCTGGGCCTCTTTCTGCCACAACATCTGGCGGGGCATTGAATTCTGGCTGGCTGGGGCATTGAGATCTGGCTGTGCACGTCCGACGCCGCCTCTGACCTGTCTCGACGCAAACGGAAAACTGCTGGCGCGAATTCAAGAAATGGCCCTGCATTCTTCCACAATTGACGGCGGGTTCGGCGCGTGCCATGCCAGATTGTCTGAACTTCCTCACTCGGGAAGCCTCCCGGGCAGCCACCGAATTAGTGCACATTCCAACGTGCGCTGCACTCAATTTTGCAGACAGCTTCACGTACACCCCAACGGGCTCGTTAAAATATGCGAACGTGCAACTGGAAAGTTTACGCCAGCTCTCGTGAAACGTGTGGCCCAATTACGATGCCACTGGGACCGGCTGCTTGCAAAGAGGCCGATCAGACTCTGCCCCCACACCCACAAGACCGCCCTAGCCGTCTTCCCAACCTCACCGGGCATAGCAGGGTTCTGCCGCAAATCCTGGTAAAGCAGGAAACAAAACTGGCAAATCATCCTATGAATGTGGACCCCCTCACTGGCCCTACTCGGCAAACGAACCTCTCCTACGGCCCCGCGCTCACTGCGCTTCCCCTCCACTGACTCCGCGCACACCACGGCCGCGGCCAGCAGGCGCAGCATGTGTCCATAGTCAGCCGTTCCGTTCCCCCCGAACGTCTTGGGAGGCACCCTCCACTCCACCAGCAGCTCCTCCACCTGGTCGTGCAACGTAGCCTCTTCGACGTGGCTTTTTGCTCGGCTTTTGAACTTTTCTTGAAGCTTTTTGCCTAACTCCTCAGCCTTCGCCGCTTTCTTCCCCTCGAGTTGCAGCCCCTTGATATTCCAGTCCACGTGCGCCTTCCTGAAGTTCAACACTCCGGCGGCCCTCAGCACTTTCCGCTCCGACCCTCGCGCGCACGGCAGCCGCTCTTGGTCAGGGTCGATTCTTTCCTCCGACTCTTCCTCGTCCTCCTCATCATCTTCCCCTGCGCCACCGGCCTCCCCCTTCTTCCCTTTCTCACTGCCTTTCTTCAGCCTCGCATTTTCCTCCTCCAGCTTCCCTACTTTCGCCTTCCACTTTTCTAGCTGGCCCTCCACAGCACCCTCACCAAAGCCCTGCCTCTCCCACAACATTTTGAGGATACCTTTGGCCAGGTCGGTGGCCACCTCCCACTTGTACCCCTTCTCCTCGGTGTTTAGCCCCTTTTGCTTGGCGATCTGGGCGAAAAGGCCCTCCAAGTTCATTTGAATCGGGGCAGCGCGAGCACGGATTTCGAAGAGCAGGGAAGTGACCAACGCATGCTCAAACGAGTTCTGGCACGCCTCAAACATCACGAATTTTCCACTGGAAACCGACCTCATGGCGTAGTCGCTTTCTTTGATTTAAAGGTAATCGACTAGCTTCACCTCTAAAGGATCAGTGAAAGCCGTTTCCCTTTCATCAGACCACTTTGTTTTTGGGGTGCTTTGGGGGATCTTCATGCCGCACTGCTCGCTGACGTCATGGTGGGTTTCATCAGGCACCAAGCCCGTAGCGCGGCCCCGCTGTCCCTGCCGCGGTGCCCCCGCGCCGGCAGCTTCACCACTGGCTCCTCCCTTCTCCTTCTTCTGCGCGCCCCCCGTCAGACTCTCGATCCTCAGCCTTCGGCGTCCTCTCCCCCATCCCTCCTTGCACTTCGGCTCCTCTCCCTCTCCTTCCTCCTCGCTAGTGTGGGCGTGGCGCCCCGTAACGGCGCATGCTTCCTTCCCTTCCTGTCGCCAACGGCCACGGCGCCCTCTCGAGAACCGAAAACGGACAACTCACTAATCGACGCGTCACTTTTGGGGGTTCTGTCCACCCCCGAAACCAACGCTTGGCGACAACTCTGGCGAGCTCGTCGAGCCCGAGCGCCTATGGAAGAGACGAGATCATGAACCCTGCCCCCGACTCCCGAGCCCACCCGCCTGCCGACGGCCCGAGAACGTCACGAAACTGCACCCCCCAGACGCCGAAGAACTTCGGCATCGCCGCCCGATTTGACAACCGCGCCTCCTCCCGCAGCCCACTCCCTGTCCTCCCGTTCCTTCCTTCCCTCCTCCGACTGCCTCCCCCCCGCGCCCCGCGCCCCGAGCCCACTCCCTGCGGACAGTCACGAGTGAACTGCATCGGGATTCAGAGGTCAGGACTTCGTGGAGTTTTACTCAAATTCCGTCTTGATGAACAATGCGTAAAATGAGTCTGTGAATTCAAGTCGATCACAATGATCACAAGGATCGGCCGCCGAAGCGGTTCTTGGGCCCTCGCGGGTGTTGCGAGGGATGGCCCCGGACCCCCGCGAGCGGGGGCCCTTACACGCTTGAGTAGTGCCAGAGGCACACCAGCTCTGTCAAGGCGCGCACCTCGCTCCAAATGATCAGGCCGTGGCTTTCCCTTTATCTACTGTCACATCGTTTGCCACCTGATTTCCAGGATAAAAGTTCCACCGGATTTCCAGGATCAAAATTCCAAGCGATCCGGTTGGAATGTTATCGTCGGAGGTCAGGTGACACGGAGCACCAGTGGAACCACACACCCGCGCCCTCCAACTTTCCCCGCCCCTCCCCCTTTCCCCCGGCCTCCTCCCGCCTCCTCTCCCCACATTCTCCCTGTCTACCCTGACCTGGCTCCTCCTCCGCCTCCTCCTCCTCTCCGGGACATTCCTCGTCATCACCAGGCGATTCGCGCCGTCTGTCCAACTGGCGCTTCACTCATACCACTCTGGTGAAATTGAATTGAAGGGCTGGCATGGATGCCCCGGGGAAGCCCGGACACTTCTATGCAAAGTGCCCGGCACACACGCACATACACACACGCACACACACGAATAGTGCCAGAGGCACACCGACTCGGTCACCAGGAGATTCGCACCGTCTGTCCAACTGGCGCCTCGCTCTCGTGTGCTTCTAACATCCTGCTCTTTCCCTCGACAACATGCACAGATACCACACACGCGCGCGCACTCCTCCCCCCTTCTCCACCCAACCTCCCCCGGCCCTAACGCAGCCCCGCCTTCCCGGTTGCCGCGACATCCCCTTCTTAAACCAAGTCCTCGAATCCAAGTCTTAGTGGCTAGCGCTGCCGGCGGCCACTGCGCCGCCCCCCACACACCACCTGTTCTCCCCTCGTCATCGCCGCCGTTGCCGCCATCGTCCACGCCATCCTTGTCGTCGTCGTCGTCGTCATAGTCGTCGTCGTCGTCGTCGACACACGCACACACGCACACACGCACACACGCACACACACACACAACAACAACAACAACAACAACAACAACAACAACAACAACAACAACAACAACAACAACAACAATCATTTTACCCTCATGCGCCATGCTTCCACATGACACATGCATCCATCTGGATAACACACCCCATCATGGGGGATTTTTCTGGCATGCGGGATCCGATATTCCCTCACCCAGATATCCCGCCCAAGAAGGTTTGGCCACCACCTCTTCCGAGGAACTTCAACATCCATAGCTCGGACGGCACATCGCCTTCGCAATCGCCTTGCGCATGCCCCGCATCTCAGAGGGAGAGGAAGAGGAAGAGGAGGGGGAGATGAGAGAGATAGGGAGGGGGAGGAGGAGAAGGGAGGGGGAGGAGGGGGAGGAAGGATGAGTAGTTGTAGTAGCAGCAGTTGATGATATTGTTGTTGCGGCTGTAGCACTAGTAGTAGTGGTAACGGTAGTAGTAGTCCAAGTAAGTAGAACTGGCTTGTGGCAGCCAAGCGTTCATAGCGACGTTGCTTTTTGATCCTCCTTTAATGTCTTCTCTCCCTATCCTTGAGACGCAGAAGTCTCAAAAAGTTGGATGGCTCAGCACATCCAGGAAACCTATCGCTGGACCGGCCCAAATATGGTTCCAGAAGCGGCTCGGGAAGCTGCGCAGGCGCCAGAAGCAGAGAAACACCACGTACGGGCGCCGGCTCGGGCGTCCGGCCCAAAGCCGCTCCAGAATCGGCCCAGGACGGCTTCCCGGGCCCCGGACGGCTTCCCGGGCGCCGGAGGCAGAAATTCAGCATTTTCAAAAGAAAAATGTGTATTGGAATGGTTTTTTTTCGGCGCCGCCTCGGAACTCGATTTTGTGGCGCCCGGGCGCCGGCTCGGGCGCCGACCCGGGCGTCCGGCCCGGGAGCCGGGCCGGGTGCCGGCCCGAGCTCCGGAATCGGCCCGGACGGCCTCCCTCCCGGGCGCCGGAAGCAGAAATTCAGCATTTTCGAAAAAAAAAAAAAAGTATTGGAATGGCCTTTTTTCGGCGCCGCCTCGGAACTCGATTTTCCGGCGCCCGGGCGCCGGCTCGGGCGCCGACCCGGGCGTCCGGCCCGGGAGCCGCTCTCGGCGGCGAGCAAGAGCACCGAGCCCGAGTAAAAAAGGAGGAAGTCTCGAGCCGGAGCGTTGTTGTTGTTGGGGGGCCGGTTTTGGCGGAACCCCAAAACGCCTGAGCGTGAGCCTCAATTTCAGAGGAAATGCGGCCGGCGCCTCGGCGAGAGCGCCAGGGCGAATATAGGGGGTCCAACAATAATAATTGTTTAGTAATTAAGGTTCAACAACAACAACAACAACAACAACAACAACAACAACAACAACAACAACAACAACAACAACAACAACAACAACAACAACAACAACAACAACAACAACAACAACAACAACAACAACAACAACAACAACAACAACAACAACAACAACAACAACAACAACAACAACAACAACAACAACAACAACAACAACAACAACACCAACAACAACACCAACAACAACAGCAGCAACAGCAGCAGCAGCAACAACAACAGCAGCAGCAGCAACAACAGCAGCAGCAGCAGTCGCCGAGAGATCGGCGACAGGCCCCCGATGGCGAGCGCAGGCTCCTCGGCGGGGCAGACCCTCGGGCCCGCGCCGGCGAGGAAAGGGCGATCGGGGGCCGAGGCGTGCCCCCCATGGAGCATGTGCCGCGACGCAGACGTGCCCCGAGGGACCAGGGAATCGGGGTCGATGCGTGCCCCCATGGAGCCTGTCCCGAAGGAAACGGGTCCTGGGCCCCCATGAGCCTGTGCCGTGCCCCCTTGCCCCCCCTGAGCCTGTGCCGTGAAGCAGGCGTGCCCCGAGGGAAGCGGGTCCTGGACCCTTTGGGGGCCTCCCCCCCGGGGCCCGCGCTTCCGCCCGAGCCGTTGTCGGACGGCCCGAGGGCTCCGGGAGAGGGCACACGGGAGGCTTCACGTACGGCGCAGAACCTCGGGGCACGCTTCCCGCGGGGCCGGCGCGCTTCGTGCCGGAGCCCCTCCCTCCCTCACGCTTCACCGCACCGCCGGGGGGACCCCGACTGAACCCCCCCTCCCCGATGCCGAGCAGGGCCGGCGCGCTTCGTGCCGGAGCCCCTCCCTCCCTCACGCTTCACCGCACCGCCAGGGGGACCCCGACTGAACCCCCCCCCGATGCCGACCGAGCAGGGCCAGCGCGCAGGTGCCAAGCAGCGCGCAGCTCGCGGCCCTCCGGGCGGCCATGGTGCCCCGGGCCTCTCGGCGGGGCCTGGTGCGGAGGCTTCTCCGGGGCCTCGGGAGCGAGCGCTTCGAGCCACGACGGCCCGCGCACGACACGGGGGGGCACCACCAACGGCCAGGCTGGCGCTGGGCTCCGGTCGAGGGCGCTGCTCGAGCGCCGCTGGAGCCGCCCCAGCACGGGCATGAGCGACCAGCCGGGAGCCTTCTGGGCGCTGGGCCCGCTCGGGCTGGCCTCTGGGGCCCCTCGCACGCACGAAGCCGCACCTAGACGGCGTGCCGGCACAGCAGAACTACGAACTCACGCATGCGAGAGAACTCACGAAAACATGTGAGGCATGCAGGGCGAGAAAGTGCGCAATCACCAGAAACGCAGGGGAGGGGGGAGTGAAGGGAGAAGGTAGACGACGGGGAGGACGCAAGAATCTGCCATACTATTGTGCACCAAATGTCTCTACAGCCTCACTCCACGATGATGTACTTACCAGAAGAGCTTGCAATGCATCAGGGCTGCCACCTGCCACAACGAGAGCCTTTTCGTGTGTAATTCGTCCATTGCAGATGAGGGCGCCCTCGGGAGCGCGGCGCCATCCATGTCCGAAGTAAAAAATCAGAGCCTTCACCACAATCGAACACCATAGCTCTCGGTAAGCTTCTGGGGCCGTCCCGGGCAAGTTCACCATACAGCTTAAGCTGCCGTTCGAAGACCCCTGGGCCCCTGGGGACCGAGCAAAGGCGCTTTTATGTCCAAGTGAAGGTTTCAGTGTCCCTGCTGGGGGCTTCTGTCCAGGCAGGTTGTTTCTGTCCCAGAGCTCTTTAGGTGACATGTGGGATTACCCCACCGATCGCGCAGACGACAGCGAATCTGATGACGAAAATGATGATGCTGATGAGAGTGATCCAGAGGAGGAGGAGGAGGAGGAGGAGGAGGAAGAGGAGGAGGAGGAGGAGGGAGGAAGAGGAGGAGGAGGAGGTCACGGCAGGTCAGCGCACACGACGACGAGGGCTGCGGCGGCGACAGCGGCAGCGGCAAGAGGCCGCGACGGCGGCGGCGGCCACCCCCCCCCAGCGGGAGCCGCCAGGCAGGCGGACGCGGCGCTTCTGCGGGAGGCGGCGCCTGGCGCGACGTCGAGCCGTGCCCGGACTGCGGCGGCGACAGCGACCTCGGCGGCGAGGGCGGCGAGGGTCACGACCGGCGAACAGATTCGCATCCGCGCCCTCGCAGTCCGCCCTCTGGGGAGCGATCCCGCGGATGCGCGGTCGCACGGGTACGTTCCACGCGGGGCGTCCGCAAGGAAACGCACCGTGATGCGGAGTCGCGGCTGAGGGCAACTCATGGCAAGATTTCGCGAAGGCTTCGGTGGCAACTCATGGGAGCCTCGCATGCCATCTTGCTGGCTCTTGCGAATCGACGCTGGCCGACGCTGATCGACGCGAATCGACGCTAATCGACGCTAAATCTACGCTAAATCAGCGCTTTCTCATCGACTACCAAGCGCTAGCGTACGCTAGTGCACTCTAAAAGCGGAATTGCGAGGACATCCGCCACCGGGCCTTCGGGCACGGAGTGGGCGTGCCCTCAGACCCCTCGGTGTCGTCCTCAGTCCTCTGGATTGAAGATTCTTCAGAGACCCGTACTCCAGAGGGCCCACTCTCTCGCGGTCCGGGGCGGCTTGTCGCATGACTTTTACGGACCCTAGAGGACCCCCAGACGGGCCAAGAGGGCCCCAAGAGACACCCAAGACGGTCCGAGAGGAGTTGCCGAACGATCGGTCCAAGGCGCCCAAGATGGCCTCCAGACTGCTAAGACGCCCCAAGAGGCCTCCGAGAGGCCTCCCAAGTCCCCAAGAAGCTAAATTCATGCATTTCGTAGAAAGTTATTCAACGATTTTGGCGTTCTCGCCTCTCGGCTTCCCGACGCTCCAGGACGGCCCAAGAGGCGCCCAAGATCGCCCTAAGACGGCCCAAAAGGCCTCCAATAAGGCTCCCAAGCGGCCCAAATTGGCACCAAAACGACTTGAGTGAAGGGGCCCTGGGACACAAAATTAAATAAACACAAATAACGGGATCCCCATATTTTCGCATATTTTCTCGGTTCTTGTCTTCCCCCCACTTCCTACACTTCCCACATTTTCCTGGGGATCGACGATTAATTGTGTCTGTGTGTCTTTGCCCTCTCTAATCATGACCGCAGACGCGAGGATGTTCCGCACGGCCACCGACGCGGCCCTGCATCACCTAAGCACCTGGGCCAAGAAGGCGCGCCTCACCTTCGAGATCCACCGCAACCGGGATGGCGCGCTGAGCCAGACCAACGCGGACCCGCGCGTCTTCCTGGACAACATCCCCGACACCACCACTCCAGAGGAGAGGGCCCGGCTGCAGGCGGACGCCGACCGCAAGCAGAAGGAGAAGGAGGTGCTAAAGGCCTGGCAGGCCCAACCGGCGGGCTTCTCGGCCCGCGCCGACCTGCCGCTCCCCACGGACCACAGCTGGCCGGACCTGGAAGACGTCGTCAACACGGCGGTCGTGAGACTCCTGTACTGCGCTGCCTTCGGACCCTGCATTCCGCGGCGCCTCGGGCTGCACCCACACCAGCACGGCGCGGCGGACCAGCCTACAGACCCCAGCCTGCAGGACCGCAAAGGATGGAGCATGAACGGGTACCTCGTCTTCTGCTCGATGCTGGTGGGCCTGGACGCCGGCAACTTGGTCTACACAGCAGTCTCTGCGACCATCACGTGGGCCATCGGGCTCGGAGCCACCAGCGAGGACACCGCCCTGACCCCACCCTGATTCCACCGAGAAGGGAGCGGCCGAACATGCCCACCGCGTGGTACGTCAAGGAGGCCTGCATCCCACGAACCACTCGCAGGCGCCGCCCTAGATGCTGGCAGCCAGCAACCTGCAAGTGCCAGAAGCACAAGGACCCACCCACACCGGAGGTGTTTCAGGCCTTCTGCGACATGGGCTCGGGCGGGCGCCAGACCACTGTCCTGCGCCGCCTCCTGGACAGCACCGGCACGGCACTGGGGGCCATCCAAGCCAGGATCCTGCTCGCCCTGTACTTGCTCTTGCAGCGCGAGCCACGTACCTGCCTGTGCCCATTCGGGGACGCCGAGGGCATCGGCGACGTGATCGAGGCTATCCTGGGCCTGCGCGAGCCATACCGGCCGCGCGACAGGGTCGCGCGGGACCACCTGGGAGCGGTGTTCGGGCTCGGAGCCAAGCACTTCAAGGAGCTACACTCGGCTCTGGAGCTCCTGATCTCTGCTGCGTCCCGCTTGGTCCTGGTCGCCCACCACCACCCTGCCGCCATCGAGGCGGGATGCCCCCGCACCTGGAAGGAGCTCGAGGCGGCGAAGCTCCCGCCCCAGGCCACGCTCGCCGTCATCGAAGCCATCGCCCTTGCCGCCGACCTGACGGCCCTGGCGGACGGGTGCACGGTGGCCATTGTCGGGCGGGGAAAAGGGGGGGGGGGGGAGCACGGTCGGCCGGTCGGAGAAAAAAAAAAAAACGGGGCACGGGGGACAGGGGGGGACACGGGGGGCCACGGTCGGTCAGGCAAGGGGCACGGTCGGTCGGTCAGAATCAGCAGAAGGAACGCACTGGGGGAAGGGAGGGGGGGGGCACGGGAGGCCACAATCGGGCAAGGGGGAGGGGCACGGTCGGTCGGTCGGAATAAGCAGGAGTGGGGGGCATGGGAGGAAGGAGGGGCACGGGGGGCCACAGTCGGGCACGGGAGGAGCACGGTCGGTCACCGACACGTCCCAGCACCGAGCACACCGAAGCAGTACACCGACACATCGCAGCACGCACCCCAGCACACCCACGGGGGCCGCGGCCAGCACATATCGCAGCACGTCACGGCACGCCCATACATCCCAACACATATCCCAACACACATATCCCATTACACGAAGGCAGCACACATCTCAGCACACCGAAGGAGTACACCGAAACAGGCCAGCACCGAGCACACCGAGCACACATCCCAGCACACCGAGGGGGGCCACGGCCAGCACATATCGCAACACGCAAGCACACATTCCAGCATACGGAGGCAGCACAACCCAACACACACCTTGGCACACCTCCACACATCCTAGCACCCCCAGCGCACATCCAGGGGGGCCACGGCAAGCACATATCGCAGCACACCAAGGCAGTCACACATTCCAGCACACGGAGGCAGCACAAACCCAGCACACGTCTTGACACACCTCCACACATCCCAACATCCCCAGCACCCCCAGCGCACATCCGAGTACGTCCACATCTCAGCACACCGATCCCAGCACACCGAGGCAACACACGGACACATCCCGGCACCGAGAACACCGAGGCAGTATCCCAGCACCGAGCACACCGAGGCAGTACACAGACACATCCCAGCACGCAGCCTGGCTCAGCACACCGAGGCAGTCACGCATCCCAGCACACGGAGCCCAGCACATGTCCCAGGCACGGTCGGCCCGTCGAAATAATGCAGTGTGAGATCACACCAGTAGGTATGATAATGAACTCCTCCCTGTGGAACCCCGAGGCCGATCGAAAGGCCAGGCCGAGCGTTTCGCCTGAAACTTCCTCACCACGTACGATCCTGAATCATATTTATGTTTCAACAGATTCACGGATAAGAGCGAATGCTTTCAACACGCGGCTCTCGCCTTAGCGCCGCGCACATTCGCATTTTAAGTTTGCAAGACCTTCGCGGATGGAGGGCGGGTAGTTTTCGAAATGTGGACATCGCCTTAGCGGCGCGCACATTCTTTTTCAAAAATTACAAAACAGTTTCACTGATGGATGTGCCTCTCGCCAAAGCACCACGCATATCCGTTTTAAAGTTTGCAAGACCTTCACGGATGGAGGGCGGCTCGTTTTCAACATGTGGCTCTCGCCTTAGCGCCGCGCACATTCGTCTTAAGTGTTTGCGGCAGTTTCAGGGTTTGTTCTCATGGTTCACGTTCCAGAACAGCGTTTGGGCACGACGTCGGGACGTCAGGGCACAACAGTCACGTTGAGTCGCGGTGTTGAAGTCCGAAGCATGGTGTTCTGGCACGGCTCAAGATCGTCATGGCGCAAGAGTAACGGCACATCGCAGCGTTGAAGTTCCAGAAATCGTGTTCTGGCACAGTTCCCGATTTTGAAACATGTTGTCTTCCAACGGGGCTATTCCCTCAGTGAGCGTGAACCCTTGTATGGGGCCTATGAAGAGGGAACTTGGGAGAGGGTTTGTTGCAATGTAATTGATGAGTCTTGGATTGACACTGGTCCTCCTTCCTCCCCCTCCCCCTCCCCCTACCCCTCCTCCTTCTCCTCTGCCTCCTCCTCCCTTTACCGCCCGCCCCATGTCCCCAGCCTGTGGTGTCGTTGTCGTTGTCGTCGTCGTGGTCGTCGTCGTGGTCGTGGTCGTCGTCGTCGTTCTTTCGGGTCGGCGGCACTGGCCGTATGGCCTTCACAGTATGCGCAGTGCAATATGTAAGATATGTGGTGCGAGCTACGTGGTGTAAGCTATGATTTGTGAGCTGCGCGGTGTAAGAGATGTGGTACGATCTATGTGATATGAGCTATGTGGTGTGAATCCATGTGGTGCGAGGTATGTAGCGCACGCACGGGTCACTCGCGAGGCGCCCACGGGCGGCAACATGGCGAAACCTCGGCGGACCATCCAGCGCACGGGGCGCCCACGAAGCGGCCACGGGCGGCAACGTGGCAAGACCTCGCCAGACCCGAGGCCTCGCTGCACGCACCCACCCAGCACACGAGGCGGCCACGAGGCGGCCACGGGCGGCAACGTGGCGAAACCCCGCTGGGTCCAACCAGCGCACGAGGCGGCCACGAAGCGGCCGCGGGCGGCAATGTGGCGAGACCTTGCCGGGTCAAACCAGCGCACGAAGCGGCCACGAGGCGGGCACGGGCGGCAACGTAGCGAAGGCTCGCGTCCATCCAGCGCACAAGGCGGCCACGAGGCGGCCACAGGCGGCAACGTGACGAAACCTCGCCGGACCCGCCCAGCGCAAAGGCGGCCACGAGGCGGCCACGGGCGGCAACGTGGAAAATGATCGCCCCGTCCATCGAATTCATCAGTGACAGAAGTAAGACTCCCCAAGTGCAAGCCCTGTCTGGGGAATTAGAAGCTTCGACATCGTTGATGTGTTTGCCTGGGGCCTCTAATTGTCATGTTTGTTTCCATTTGGCTTTGTTGATGTTCATGTTATTGTTTGCTGTCGGCGCTATCCTCCCCCAGCGCCGTCTCTACCTTCCCCCAGGGAGGAGCCCCAAAGAGGAGCCCCAGATGGCCGACAGTCCAAGGGGTTCCCCCCAAGCGGGGAATCCCTCGGACTCTTGGCAATCATGTAACGTGCAAGAGAGAGAGAGAGAGAGAGAGAGATAACTACATCTATATAGATATGTATACATACTTATGTACAATTATAGGAGAAGAAACATTATCCCAGTGCGACCCCAACTAGGAGTTGGAGCCTCTAGGAAAGCATCAGTAGTAGGAGCGGTAAACGCCGTCCTCCTCCTTCTCCTCATCGTCGTAGTTGTAGCAACAGTAGTAGTAGTAGTAGTAGTAGTAGTAGTAGTAGTAGTAGTAGTAGTAGTAGTAGTAGTAGTAGTAGTAGTAGTAGTAGTAGTAGTAGTAGTAGTAGTAGTAGTAGTAGTAGTAGTAGTAGTAGTAGTAGTAGTAGTAGTAGTAGTAGTAGTAGTAGTAGTAGTAGTAGTAGTAGTAGTAGTAGTAGTAGTAGTAGTAGTAGTAGTAGTAGTAGTAGTAGTAGTAGTAGTAGTAGTAGTAGTAGTAGTAGTAGTAGTTAGTAGTTAGTAGTAGTAGTAGTAGTAGTAGTAGTAGTAGTAGTAGTAGTAGTAGTAGTAGTGTAGTAGTAGGTAGTAGTAGTAGTAGTAGTAGTAGTAGTAGTAGTAGTAGTAGTAGTAGTAGTAGTAGTAGTAGTAGTAGTAGTAGTAGTAGTAGTAGTAGTAGTAGTAGTAGTAGTAGTAGTAGTAGTAGTAGTAGTAGTAGTAGTAGTAGTAGTAGTAGTAATAGTAGCGCCAGAACCGCCGACGCCACGCCGTAAGTGAAGCAGCAGCAGAAGCAGGCAGCAAGTCGCCGAGACAGCAGCAAAAACAAGCATGCAGCACACCACATGGGTCGGGCCCTTAGGATTCACGAAGGCTTGCACACACACACACACACACACACACACACACACACGCACACACATGCTATGCTGCGCAATGCTATGCTGGGCTAGACTAGGCTAGGCTAGGCTATGCTATGCTATGCTGCGCTATGCTATGCTGCGCTATGCTATGCTATGCTATGCTTTTGCTTTGCCTTCGCTTTTGCCTTCACTTTTGCCTTTGCTTTTGCTTTTGCTTGGCACCCAGGGAGCGCAACTGGGGGAGCCGCGCGGTTGCTTTTACCTTTGCTGTTGCTTTTGCTTGGCTCCCAGGGGACTGGGGGAACCGCCTGGGGCGGGTTACACTGCCCGGCCCCTTTAAGCTAGAGAGTAAGAACCCTTCTAGGCAGAGCCTAGGTAGGGAATAAAGAGCGAAAGAGAGGGAGAGAGAGAGAGAGGGAAGGATCAAAAACAAAAGAACGCCTCCGTGTGTATATATATATATATACACAGATATATGGATTACTGACATCCTGCTTTCATTGGCCGGCGGAATACGAAAAACGTCTGACTGTAAATGCATACGTGTTTGCGACTTGGCCGACCATTTCACCTTAACACAGACTGTTCTAGAAACCTCGAGGCGCATGTCTGGCCGACCTGCTTCTGCGCAGAAGGGACGTAGGCCGCGATCTCCAGCGCCTCCTGCGGGGGCAGCGAAATCCGCTAGAATGCAACAAGCAACAGTTATACATACTGCCTCCCTCGCCATGTGCGAAGCGTGCTGGGGACCCCGGAGGCAAGCAGCGCCAGAGGATTCTGGGGACGAGTATCTGGGCCCCGAGTGCGTGTTCGTCGGCGACGCGGGCAAGTGGCTGCTCAAGCTCTGGGCGGAGGACATGGCAAGCGGGGACCAGCTCGGCGCAGCGGTGGCCGTGAGCTCCGATGGAGCGGGCGGCAGCGGCTGCGCCATGGGGCGACGACTGGAACTCCCCGTGCGCGCTCAACAAAGAGATATAGAGAGAGAGAGCGCGGATGGCGGAGAAGGAGGACATGGAAGAAGCGACAGGGGGGAGTGAAGAGGAGGATAATGGCGAGGAGGACGAGGAGGATGAGAAGGAGAACGAAGAGGGAAATGGGGAGGACGAGGTGTGTGGCAGAGGGATGAAAGGAGGGGGCGGTGGGAAGGAGCCAGGGGGGTGCAGTGGCAGAGGCGGGGGGGCCGGGAGGGTGGTGGCGAGCTGGGGGCCTCGAGGAAGACGGGGAGGAAGGCGACGAGCGAGGCAGTGGCAACGGACGAGCGACGGGCGAGGATCGGGGAGCGGCCGCTGCACCCGGCGGCGCGGAGCAGCTCTCAGGCAATGTAGCACCGGCTGCCCCGCGCGAGGGACACGGCGCAGCCCCTGCGCCCGCGCAGCTCCACGGCGCACAGCGACCTCCCGGCCACGCTCCGGCCGCCCACCGCCGCGTCGACCACCAGGGCCAAGGCCGCCAGGGCCCACGCGGCCACCACGGGGTTCCGCGCCTCGGGGAGGAGGTCGCCGAGGGGCACCTCCAGCGCCACGCTGTGCGGGGAGGCGATGTCCGCGAGCTGCACGCGCTGCGTGTGCCGCAGCCCCCCTGCGAGCTCCCGCGCGCCCTCGGCGCGCTCGGCCTCGCTGAGCCCGTCCAGCAGCCTCACCCGCGTCGCGTCGTCTCGCAGAAGCTCTGCGACGGCCCTCGCCTGCGAGTCGGTCCCCGGCACCGCCGAGGCGCTCGAGCCCTGGGCGCCGTGCACCTCGGGCGGCGCGTCCCTCGCCGGCGGCCTGCGGTCGCAGCAGGAGGCCGACAGGCGCCAGGAGGAGCGCCCGTGGCCTGCGCCGCGGCCGCCCCAGGAGCGCGGTACGGCCAGGCTGCCGCGGTGCGGCCTCCCCCCATCAACTGCACCTCGGAGGGCGAGCTGAGACGGCGTTTGGCGTGCTGCTGCTGTCGGTGGCGGAGGAGCGCCTCTTCTCCACCACCCTGTGCCTCCTCGCGAGGAGGCTCGCGGACGCGAGCCAACCCACTGACGAATCAGGTGCTGTCAGCCTCATGGCTTGCCTGAATACAAATGGAACAGCGGCAGCCCCAAATCGGTCCTCGGGCCCCTCCCGGGCCCAAGCGCACCAGCTTGTGCAGGCGGCGCCCAGCCGTGGCCACGGGGGCCCCAGCGCCCACCCAAAGGCCAGCTGTGCTCTTGTTCGGCGGAGGCGCCCGGGGTGGAGCGAGCGAGGGCCGGCCTCCCTCGGAAGGCGGCGGGTCGTCTCGGAACCCCCCGCGGCCTTCTGAGAAGCCGTCGACGTCTTCGGAGAAGGCGTGCAGGAGACGTGTCAGCGGCCTGGAGGCTTTCCGAGCCTCCTGAGAAGGCCCGCCCCCTCTCCCCCCCCCTGCGAGGCGGGGATTTATCCACATCCACCGCCTGGGAACCGACGTCCTGGTGCCCCAGCGGGCGGTGGATATGGATATATTTCGGCCCCCGGGGGCCCCAATATGTCCATATCCACCGCCTGCCGAGGCTCCGAAAACTGACCCTCCAGGCGGTGGCTATGGATAAATTCCCGCCTCGGACCACCCCCGCGCTCGCTGCCGAGGTGTCTCCTCTCGCCCTCCTCCGAGCACCGCCGCGTCGCGGGCTCGCTGGCGGCGGGCGCGCGAGCAGCGCCGCGCTGCCCGCCGCGGCCGCAAGGGCGCCCAGCTCCCCCGCCAGCCGCTCCATGGCCGCCGCGGCCTCGGACTCCTCGCACGCCGCCGCCGCGGGCTTGGGCGCCGCCCCCTCCACCTCTTCGGTGGCAACTCACGGTGAATCGACGCGAAATCGACACTGATCGGCGCTGACTCGGCGCCTTCTCATCGACTACAGAACGCTAGGACACGCCAAACCGCTCTGAAACGAAATTCCGAGGACACACGGCTGGCGTCGCAAACATGGCGTGCAACACCGATCTCCAAAAAGCACGCCATCCCCCCAAGACTGGAGAGCCCATCGCAAATCTGCACCTCGAGCGAGAGGCCCTCCCGTGTACGCTGCCCCCGTGCCAGGGCTTCCCGTGTGCGCGCTGCCCCCAAAAATGGGGGATGGCGTGCACTGTGCGGGCCGGCGGCGCCACAGCGCCTGCTACTTTTGCGACGCCGAGCTTAAGTCGGGCCTGTCCCTCTAAAGGAGGAATATTCAAAAATAGTATGTTTTAAACATATTTCTCTTTCGTCCATAATGCCCCTGTAGGGGGACACGCCCGATCTGACGCCAAGCGCACGAGGCCCCCCGTGCCCTGCAGCCCAACGCCTCGGCGCACCGCCTGCCCAGCACCCCTGCCGGCACGGCGCCGGCGGCCGCGCCAGCGGCGCCCTGCACGAAGCAGAGGTCCTGCTGCCACCAGTGCAGCCAGGAGTGCCCCGCGGGCTCCACGGTGCCCCCAGGAGCCCCGGGGAGGCCCCCACGGCTTCTGGAGCGCCCCTCGAAAGGCCCAGAGGGCCCCAGGGGCTTCCAGGTCGAGCGCAAGGCTGGGGGGCGACGAGATCTATGCAACATACCCGCTGCCCCAGGCCTGGCCCATCCACCGCTCCTGGGCCCAGGATGGGCCAGGCCTGGGGCAGCGGATATGCATAGACCTCTTCGCCCTATGAGGGCACCTTGGGCCAGGGGAACAGGGGCACCTTTAGCAACCCCCCATCCTCCGCCCGCGGCCAGCGCCGCAGCCGCACCAGCAGGCCCGCGCCCTCCGCCTCGAAGGAGGCCTCTGGGGAGCCCGAGGCGGCGCCCAGCTGGCGCCGCAGCGCCCCTGCCACGAGCTGCCTGGCCGTCTGGTCTGCCTCGGGGGGTGCAACAAACTGCGCACGACGAAGCCAGGACGAGGACAAATTCGGGCCAGGCAAAATCGAAAATCGCTGAAATCCAGCGGCTCTGGAAGACGTCTCGGGCGCCGCGGCCTTCTCACAGCGTTCCGTCCGGAGCGCTCTGGAACGGAGTCATTATCGTCCTCGCCCCGTACGAGGTACCGATACCTAGAATGCAAGCTCAAGATTTTGATCAATAACCTTCTTGGCCAAGGATGCGAGATTCGTGAGCGACCCAGGACCGCCGGAGGCATGTGTCTCCACATCGCGCGAATGTTAAAAAGGCAGAGACAGTGATCTGGGGGTCGCAGAACCAAAGGGGGAAGAATAGTACATCTTTCGCAGCTGGGAGCGCTGTTCCCCTCCCTGACCGCGGACCAGGGGGGGGAAACAGCTGCTGGACGGGGCGGTCTGGGGCACCCCGTCCCTCCTGTGAGACTCTTCTGTGGTCCTTTTCAGAAAAGCCCGATTGAGAAACGCTCTTAGGGATGATCCCAGCAAAGCACCCTAATAGCGACAAAGTTCCAGAGGCGGGGCGAGGAGTAGGTCGTCGGCGAGTGAAAACGTGCATTCCTATGTTTCGCTGAGGATTCCCAGGAAACGCACGAGGCGTGGCAGGTTGTTCACATTTGCGTCATAAGCGTACGCGGGAGTTGGGTTCTGGCAACACGAAGAGCCGAAATTACGGTAGGCGTGCCCTTCCGTTTCCGTGCAAGAACCACACGCGGGACTGGAGCTCTGGCAGCACGACGAGCAGGAAGAACGCGGAGAGCACGGCCAGGCGAATTCGCGTATGTTTCTCCAACAGCGCCCCGCGTCTCACTCACTCACTCACTCCCCCCTCCCCCCTCCCATCCCTGCCTCTGCCCTCCGCGTGTCTCTGCTTCGGCGCACCCCTCACACGTGTCGTGGCCCCATGGGGAGCTCCAGCGAAGGCCCGAGTGGCTGCATTCGCATAACTGCCCAACGCTAGTTCAGCGCATCGCTCACACGCTTCGTGGCCCCATAGGGGGCTCCAGCGAATGCCAGTGGCTGCGCTCGTAAACCTTTTTCACACCATGTCGGCGCAAGCCCTCACACGTTTCGTGGCCCCATAAGGAGGTCAACACAAGGCCCCACTAGCTGAGATCGCATGGTTTATCCACACCATGTCGGCGCACCTCTCACACGCTTCGTGGCTCTATAGGGGGCTCCACCGAAGGCCCTGGAGGCTTCGTCCGCAATCCTTCTACACACCATGTCGGCGCACTCCGCACACGTGTCGTGGCCCCATAGGGAGGTCAGCCGAAGGCAATGCCCCGTTAGCTGAGTTCGCATGGCTTATCCACACCATGTCGGCGCACCCCTCACACGCTCCGTGGCTCTTTATGGGGGCTCCACCGAAGGCCCTGGAGGCTTCGTTCGCATTCCTTCGCCACACAATTTCGGCGCACCCCTCACACGCGTCGTGGCCCCATAGGGAGGTCAGCCGAAGGCAATGCCCCACTAGCTGCGGTTGCATGACTTATCGGCGCACCCCTCACACGCTTCGTGGCACTGTAGAGGGCTCCACCGAAAGCCCTGGAGGCTTCGTTCGCATTCCTGCTCCACACCATGTCGGCGCACCCCTCACACGTGTCGTGGCCCCATAGGGAGGTCAGCCGAAGACAATGCCACACTAGCTGCGCTTGAATGACTTATCCACACCATGCCGGCGCACCCCTCACACGCTTCGTGGCTCTATGGGAGGCTCCACCGAAGGCCCCGGAGGCTTCGTTCGCATTCCTTCTCCACACATGTCGGCGCATCCCTCACGCGTTTCGTGGCCCCATACTGATACCAGTCGGGGCTCTTGTGTCAGATATAGCTGAACAAATCGAGTACTCGAGCACACAAGTGGACACAGGGAACTTATCGCTGCAACTATTCATGGAAAAAGATGTTCCCAATAAGTTATCTTTTCTGAAAAATAAGTCCCAAATAAGTTCCGTGAGTTCCCGAGCCCCCCTACCCGCCGCGGCCCCTCGGGCTCGTCCTTGAATGGGTTGTGCAATGGAGGAGGGAGGAGGAATAGGAGGCGGAGTGGGAGGATCAAGAGAGTAAGAGTGATGATGATGCTGATGATGATGTTGATGATGATGAGACGGATGAGGATGATCATGATGGTGATGATGATGATCATGATGATGATGATGATGACGGTGATGATGACGGTGATGGTGATGGTGATGGTGATGTTGATGATTGACGATGCTTTTCCCGCCACCAATTAGATTCCGAGCGTGGGTCGACCCACTCGGTGGTGACCTCGAGGGTGACCTTGGAACTGGCCCTCTTTGGGTGCCTGTAGTCGTACTGGCCGACGTCGGGACTTGGTGGCCCTCCTGAACCATACATCGCCAGGAAGGCCTTCTTCAACCATGGGTTGGTCACGTCCTCGATGCACTTCCACTCCTGCTCGACCTTCTTGACCCGCTGCTCGGGCGGCTGGAAAATCCGGATCAGGTAGTCGCCGCCGCGCTCGGGCTTCTTGTCGGGTTCGGCGCGCGCAACCCCTCTCGGCGGGCTCGGAGGCGGCCCCTCGGGAGTCCACGGGGCGGGCGTCTCGGCCTCGGCCTCTGCCATGGCGCGAAGGGCCCCGGCCTCTTGCATGGCTCTCGTCGGCGGGGGAGTGCGCGGGGCGCGACTCGTCGCGGCCTCGGCCTCTGTCATGGCGAGCGGGGGAGCGCGCGGGGCGCGGGATGACATCAGACCGCAGCTTTGGGCCACTGGCAAAGGTATGCACACGTATCACTTATGCGGGGTCAGCGCCGTTTCAGCGGGTGAGCCGCTGTGGCGAAACCAAAATGACGATGCCAAAAAGGCGGATGTCTGTGATTGTGATGATGTCGATGCGGGTGTAGGAAGGAGGCATGACATTTGTTGCCCAACCATCCTGTGGTGTTGGGCCCTCGTCGTCGTCGTCCTCCTCCTCCTTCTCCTCCTCCTCCTTCTCCTCCTCCCCACCTTCTAGTTCTAATTCAGAAGTCCCTGAACCCCCTCCGCCCCTGATCCCCGACCACGCCCCAGGGAGCAAGGCCGCCCCGCGAGGGCGGGGAGGGCCGCGCCCTATTTATGTTTCACCGTTGTCGGAGACAGGGCCCCACCCCAATGTTTCACCAGGGCCCCACCCCTGTGCCCCTGCCTTTCAAAGGGGAAGCCTTCGTTCTCGAGGTCGAGGACATGGCAACGGTGCGTAAGAGAGCGCGGCCGTTTCGGACATGTTTCCTTACTTATGTGCGCTTAAAAGGAGGGGGGTGGGGGGGCCGATGGGACGACGACGACGACGACGACGACGACGACGACGACGACGACGATGACGACGACGACGACGACGACGACGACGGCGAAAGGCCCCAGTGGCAGGGCTCGCTCGGGCCATTTCGGCACACCCCGCACGAGGATCGTGGCCCCATAGGGAGCTCCACCGAAGGCCCCAGTGGCAAGGTTCGCATGGCGGCCTCGGGCCATTTCGGCACACCCCCTCACGAGGGTCGTGGCCACATAGGGAGCTCCACCGAAGGCCCCAGTGGCAGGGTTCGCATGGCGGCCTCGGGCAATTTCGGCACACCAGCCACGAGGACCGAGGCCCCATAGGGAGCTCCACCGAAGGCCTCCGTGGCAGGGTTCGCATGGCGGCCTCGGGCAATTTCGGCGCACCCCTCACGAGGACCGTGGCCCCATAGGGAGCTCCACCGAAGGCACCAGTGGCAAGGTTCGCATGGCGGCCTCGGGCCATTTCGGCACACCCCTCACGGGGATCGTGGCCCTGTGGGGAGCTCCACCGAAGGCCCCAGTGGCAGGGTTCGCATGGCGGCCTCGGGCCATTTCGGCACACCTCCCATTAGGATCGTGGCCCCATAGGGGGCTCCACAGAAGGCCCCAGTGGCAGGGTTCGCATGGCGGCCTCGTGCCATTTCGGCACACCCCTCACAAGGGTCGTGGCCCTGTGGGGAGCTCCACCGAAGGCCCCAGTGGCAGGGTTCGCACGGCGGCCTCGGGCCATTTTCGGCACACCCTTCACGAGGGTCGTGGCCCCATAGGGGGCTCCACCGAAGGCCCCAGTGGCAGGGTTCGCATGGCTGCCTCGGGCCATTTCGGCACACCCGCCACGAGGATCGTGGCCCTGTGGGGAGCTCCACCGAAGGCCTCATTGGCAGGGTTCGCATGGCGGCCTCAGGCCATTTCGGCACACCCCTCACGCGGATCGTGGCCCTGTGGGGATCTCCACCGAAGGCCCCAGTGGCAGGGTTCGCATGGCGGCCTCGGGCCATGTCGGCACACCACTCATTAGGATCGTGGCCCCATAGAGAGCTCCACCGAAGGCCCCAGCGGCAGGGTTAGCATGGCGGCCTCGGCCCATTTCGGCACACCCCTCACGAGGACCGTGGCCCCATAGGGAGCTCTACCGAAGGCCCCAGTGGCAGGGTTCGCATGGCGGCCTCGTGCCATTTCGGCACACCCCTCACGAGGATCGTGGCCCCCTATAGGAGCTCCACCGAAGGCCTCAGTGGCAGGGTTCGCTCGGGCCATTTCGGCACACCCCTCACAAGGATCGTGTCCCCATAGGGAGCTCCACCGAAGGCCCCAGTGGCAGGGTTCGCATGGCGGCCCCGGGCCACTTCGGCACACCCCTCACGAGGGTCGTGGCCACATAGGGAGCTCCACCGAAGGCCCCAGTGGCAGGGTTCGCATGGCTGCCTCGGGCCATTTCGGCACACCCGCCACGAGGATCGATGCCCCATTGGGAGCCCCACCGAAGGCCTCAGCGGCAGGGTTCGCATGGCGGCCTCGGGCCATTTCGGCGCACCCCTCACTAGGACCGTGGCCCCATAGGGAGCTCCACCGAAGGCCCCAGTGGCAGGGTTGACATGGCGGCTCGGGCCATTTCGGCACACCCGCCACGGGGATCGTGGCCCTATGGGGAGCTCCACCGAAGGCGCCAGTGGCAGGGTTCG